CATTAGGTATATCTCTCAATGCTATCCCTCCCCACTCCCCCCACCCCACAATAGGCCGCAGTGTGTGATGTTCCCCACCCTGTGTCCAAGTGATCTCATTGTTCAATTCCCACCTATGAGTGAGAACATGCGGTGCTTGGTTTTCTGTTCTTGCAATAGTTTGCTGAGAATGATGGTTTCCAGATGCATCCATGTCCCTACAAAGGACATGAACTAATCATTTCATATGACTGCATAGTATTCCATGGTGTGTATGTGCCACATTTTCTTAATCCAGTCTGTCACTGATGGACATTCGGATTGGTTCCAAGTCTTTGCTATTGTGAATAGTGCCACAATAAACATATGTGTGAATGTGTCTTTATAGCAGAATGATTTATAATCCTTTGGGTATATACCCAGTAATGGGATGGCTGGGTCAAATGGTATTTCTAGTTCTAGATCCTTGAGGAATCGCCATACTGTCTACCACAGTGGTTGAACTAGTTTACAGTCCCATCAACAGTGTAAAAGTGTTCCTATTTCTCCATGTCCTCTCTAGCACCTGCTGTTTCCTGATTTTTTAATGATTGCCATTCTAACCGGTGTGAGATGGTGTCTCATTGTGGTTTTGATTTGCATTTCTCTGATGGCGAGTGATGATGAGCATTTTTTCATGTGTCTGTTGGCTGTATGAATGTCTTCTTTTGAGAAGTGTCTGTTCATATCCTTTGCCCACTTTTTGATGGGGTTGTTTTTTCCTTGTAAATTTGTTTGAGTTCTTTGTAGGTTCTGGATATTAGCCCCTTTTCAGATGAGTAGATTGCAAAAATTTTCTCCCATTCTGTACTGTTGTATCTTTATATTCATTCATCTTTTCCTCATGGTGTCTAAATACTTAATTCCATCCTGTATATCATTCATCTTAGTCACTGTAAATTTTATGTGTAGAATTTCTATTTGAGTCTTTTATATCATTCATGTATCTCCTTAACATGTTCATAATTTTCTCTGCTTTCTTAAACAGACAAAATATAATCGGCCGGGTGTGGTGGCTCACGCCTGTAATCCCAGCACTTTGGGAGGCTGAGGCAGGCAGATCATGAGGTCAGGAGATTGAGACCATTCTGGCTAACATGGTGAAACCCCGTCTCTATTAAAAATACAAAAAAAGGCCAGGCGCGGTGGCTCAAGCCTGTAATCCCAGCACTTTGGGAGGCTGAGACAGGCGGAGTACGAGGTCAGGAGATCGAGATCATCCTGGCTAACATGGTGAAACCCCATCTCTACTAAAATAAAAAATACAAAAAGCTAGCCTGGTATGGTGGCAGGCGCCTGTAGTCCCAGCTACTTGGGAGGCTGATCAGGAGAATGGCGTAAACCCGGGAGGCGGAGCTTGCAGTGAGCTGAGATCCAGCCACTGCACTCCAGCCTGGGTGACAGAGCGAGACTCCATCTCAAAAAAAAAAAAAAAAAAAAAAAAAATTACCCGGGTGAGGTGGCAGGCACCTGTAGTCCTAGCTACTCGGGAGTCTGAGGCAGGAGAATGGTGGGAACCCGGGGAGGCAGAGCTTGCAGTGATTGGGCTATTGCACTCCAGCCTGGGTGACACAGCAAGACTCCGTCTCAGAAAAACAAAAAAGAAAAAGAAATATATTTACAATAACTGTTTCAGTCCCCTTTATCCACTAATTTTATCATCTGTTTAATTTTGGGGTATGTTTCTATTGGTTGAACTTTTCTCCTTGCTATGGGTTCTAATTTTTTTTTTCTCTGCTTCTGTGGATATCTAGTCATTTTTACTGATACATTTTACTTTGCTGGGAACTAAGTTTTGCATGTGCTTCTATCTTTTCGAACTTCATTCTGGGACACAGTTAAGTTACTTAAAATATTTTATTTCTTTGTTAGGTAGAAACAGAGCAACCTTAGGTCCATGGCTAATATTGTCCCAACTACTGAGACCACATTTCTGAGTACCCTACATGATGCCTATTAGTTATAAACAGCTTTTCCACATTACCTACAGAAAGCTTGAAATATCCTGGATCCCATTTCGGCTCCAGGGACTGTTTGTTTTAATTTTACCTGTGGTTCTTCCCCCCAGTTGTCGGTAGTTTCCTCACACTCAAGCAATGATCAGCACTAAACTGAAGACTCAAATAACTCTGCAAATTTCTGAATCTCTCTCTCTCTCTCTCTGCAACTCTCTCTTTACTGGTACTCTGCCCTGTGAATTTTAGGTATTTTATCCTGTGCTCTGAACTGTATTTAACCCAAGAAGACTTAATTCCAGTGCCTGTTTGGGCACCCTTTCTTCCTGCACTCACTGGAAACTCTCCTATACATTAGACAGGTAGGTTAGAGATGGTGGTCATACCCTCCCTTAAAGAGGAACAAAAAAACTTGCCAAATAAATGGAGTGAACAAACTGTTCAACATTGCACAAACTGCATCTAGGACTTGTGGTTAAATTATCCCGCAACAGAGAGGAAGTATAGCAGAAGGGAAAATACCCAAACTCGTGCAAGCAGAGAAACTCATGATTAATGTCCTTAGGTTGACCTCTGTTTATTGTGATGGCAGAATATACACCACTGGGTGGGAAGTTGAGATGCTAACAAGTCACGTGATGTATGTGCTAGCATGTACAATAATTGCACATGTGCACTCAGGAGACCAGTCACAACAGGCTTAACAGCAATGCCCATCATCACCCTCTTATGACTGATCATATAAGCTTCCCATAAAGGAAATTTCCCCAGTGTCAGACATGGCTGTCTCATTCTCTAGCAGCCTGCTCTGACCCACCTATCAGAGTATATTTTTGCTTTGCAATAAAGTCCTTCCCCTACTCTTACTTTGGACTCTCAAATTGTTTTGTGCAGCAAAATCAAGAACCTGAACCAGCCTAAAGGACAACATTAGGGCAATCAGCAGTCACCTTGTTTGTTTCCCTTTGTCCAGGGATCATTGTTCCGTGCAGCCTGCTGTAGGTCTGAAAATCATTCCTTTGTCTATCTTGACTAATTTCATGGTTGTTTAAGATAGAGGAAAAATATAGTTTCAGGTTTTTTTTCATCATGGTTGGATGAATATATGAATGGCATTGTGATGTTAAAAGTTGCATTCTGGTTATTACTTAACTGCTAACAGTAGTTGGTTTCCTTTATTAATAAAATTAACAATATATTTTCTCTTTAACCGTGTTTTTAATGATGAAATCAGATACTCCTATAAATTGCTAACCATTGTGTCTGATGTTTCAGTGAGAATTAGTTAGACTTCATTCTGACACTAATAGGGACTATCTGTAATGTATTGTACACTTAAAAATAACTAAAATATAATTGGAATGTTTGTAACACAAAGAAATGATACATGTTTCAGGTGATGAACACCCCAGCCTTGCCTCAAACATGCTTCCACCAGTGCTTCCATCACTTTGAAAAGGGGCAATCATGGATACTTGTATTGCATCATGGAAGAATTCAGAAAGCAACCCGGGGAAGCTACATGTGAAGTAAGTAATGTAAAGATCTATAAGAAATTATGGTGGATGTTTGAAAGTCCACATAATCAAGTGGTTAAGAATGAGCTCTGTTCAAGCAGCCCAGTAAGAAAATGTCAACATTTTTCAATGTCTGATTATAAATGGGCAAAAAAATCTGAATAGATGTTTCTCAACAGAAGACATACAAATGGCAGACAGGTATATGAAAAGGTGCTCAACATCATGGATCATCAGAGAAAGGCAAATCAAAATTACAATAAGATAACATCTCACCCCAGTAACAATGACTTTTATCTAAAAGATAGACAATAATGAATGCTAGAGAGGATCTTGAGAACAGAGAACCTTCATATACTGTTGGTAGGAATGTAAATTAGTGCAGCCACTAGAGAGAACAGTATGAATGTTTCTCAAAAAACTAAAAATAAAACTACCATGTGATCCAGTAATCCCATTGCTAGGTATAGACCCAAAAGAAAGGAAATAGTATATCAAAGAGATATCTGCACTACCCTGTCTATTGTAGCACTGTTCAGAATAGACAAGACTTAGAAGCAACCTAAGTGTACATCAACAGATGAATGGGGCCCGGCGCAGTGACTCACGCCTGTAATCCCAGCACTTTGGGAGGCGGAGGTGGGCAGAACACGAGGTCAGATCAGACCATCCTGGCTAACATGGTGAAACCCCATCTCTACTAAAAATGCAAAAAATTAGCTGGGCATGGTGGCGGGTGCCTGTAGTCCCAGCTACTCGGGAGGCTGAGGCAGGAGAATGGCGTGAACCCGGGAGGCAGAGCTTGCAGTGAGCCGAGATCGCGCCACTGCACTCCAGCCAAAAAAAAAAAAGAAAAAAAAAAAGAAAAAAAAACACAGATGAACGGATATGTAGTACATATATACATAACGGAGTACCAATCAGCCATTAAAAAGTGAGATCCAGGCCAGGTGCGGTGATTCACGCCTGTAATCCAGCACTTTGGGAGGCCGAGATGGGTGAATCATGAGGTCAGAAGTTTGAGACCATCCTGATCAACATGGTGAAACCCTGTCTCTACTAAAAATACAAAAATTAGCCGGGTGTGGTGGCGGGCCCCTGTAATCCCAGCTACTCAGAAGGCTGAGGCAGAAGAATCGCTTGAACCCGGGAGGCGGAGGTTGCAGTGAGCCGAGATCGTGCCATTGCACTCTACCCTGGGCGACAGAACGAGAGCAATTTTCAAACCTGAGTAATTAACAGATACCTTTTAAAAGAAACAAAAGTTATGTTTAACACCAGTGTTGCCTTAAATGATTTTTATTAGCATGTTGCTAAAATATGTGCAAATCAAAACCTACTTATAACTCCTTATGCATGTAAATGATTTAACATTCAAACACATTTACTAATTAAATGCAGATGAAAGATGCAACACAGTAAAATTCAGTTTTCTAACATTTATTTAACATGATGGATGTTGTTGTTCTCTTGAAACTAAAAACCACTCACAAATGAACATCATACTCACAGTTAAGGTTCAAGTTCTCTTGCGGTCATCATACCCATACATCTGTGTGCCATGAGATCAGTCAATTTTTCCACCACTTTCCTCTGTTCCAACTACTGCAAAACCATAACATGATGTCATTTGGCCCTCACTTAGCAGAAATTCACCATTTACACAGTAATTCTCCCTCCATTTTTTTTTTCCCTTAAGCCCATGATAAAGTAGAACTACTTGGGTATAACATATTCAAAACAACAACAACAACAACAAAAAACAAAACCCACTATTAAGATTCCCCCATATAAGGGCAATTATTGATTTTGAGATTGCCATCGGGTGCTCAAAAATGTGCTTATGTAAATAGTTTTAGATTACCATTGATATGAAATTCCTAAATTGAAAAATCTCATGAACCCTTGGGAATATGCCTGGGGATCCCCAGAGGACCAAAGATCCTAGTTTAGGAAATTCTGAGTTGTTCTATCTTGGCCTAACTGCTGTCTCCTCCTGCCTGGAAGAAGCTTTAGTTTCTTCCACACATGAATTATTAATAAAATAATGCTTGTGTCATGATGCTAAAGTGGAACTGGCTAGAAGGAGGTAAGAAGCAAGACTGAATTAACTTCTCAAACTTTTATTTTTATTTATTTTTTTTTTTGAGGTGGAGTCTCCCTCTGTTGCCCAGGCTGGAGTGCAGTGGCACAATCTTGACTCACCGCAACTTCCACCTCCTGGGTTCAAGCGATTCTCCTGCCTCAGCCTCCTGAGTAGCTGGGATTACAGGTGTACATCACCACACCTGACTAATTTTTGCATTTTTAGTAGAGACGGGGTTTTACCATGTTGGCCAGGCTCATCTCAAGCTCCTGACCTCAACTGATCCACCTGCCTGGGCCTCGCAAAGTGCTGGTATTACAGGCATGAGACACCATACCTGGCCTCAAACTTTTATATGACAGAAGGTGACAATGTTATTTCTGAAAACATAGAGTCAATGATGTTAGAAAGGAATGGTTTTCACTTATGGTTTGAGAAAAAGGGAGTCATGAACCTGGATGACTTTTATTAGTTCACTCACTTCAAGGAGACAATCAATAACTAATGCTTATCTAGCATGTTTTCATTTACAAAGAGCTTTCCCTCACTTGATTATCTTCCATCTTCAGCCACACACAGATGAAGACCCTTCTCAAAGGAATAACCACAACCTGGGAGTTGCTGTTTAAATTATGTATTCTAAACTCTAAGTTCTCTACTTTCTGCTGTACACCAAACACCAAACCATCTTCCACAAAGAATACTGCTGCATGAACTCTCACCTGAGCACAAACAGGAGACAATGCACCGTATACTCTACATTATCATCAGTTTCTCCCTTAAACTAAAAATATTCTTTATTTGGAGGCAAGGATGCCTGCATTTTCACAAAAGTTGTAACAAAATGTTAGGAGCATGGGGCTCTGGAATTACATTACACGTTCATCACTTACCAGCTCTGTGACGGTGGGAAAGCAATGTAAACTCTCTATACTGCACTATCATCCTCTGTAAAATAGGGATGATCGTGAGTTTCTCATGGATTTATTTTAATGATTAAATGTGTGGGTAAGGCATGAAATCCTAGGTTACAATCCAAGTATCCAAGTGATGGATACACTAAAAGTCCACACTTGACTCTGATACAAATATCCATGTAACACAACTGCACTCATCCCACTAAATATATTTTAAAACCTAAAAAATGAAAAATGTATTTACACCCCCTCCCCACAAAGAGTTTGCTATCATATCTCTGTGTAGCATGAATATGTTTACTCTTTGTCAGATACTATCTTTCAAATGCTTTACACATTAAAGCAATTAATCCTCATCTTTGCATTAATCTTTTCTTTTTCCCCATTTGACAGATGGGGAAACTAAGGGGCAGAGTAATGAAGTGGGTTATCTATACTCACACAGCAGGTAAGTAATGGAGGTGGAATTTGAACCCTGACCCAAAACCTGTGTTCCAGAGTCTGTGCTTCTTGGAAGGCTGGATACTCCTTCTCCATGATTGTAAGCTTTTATTATCATAAGGGGAGCAAGAAATTCTCTTTAGTCTTCACATCTTGCCATATCATCTCAACTGCTCTGGCCATCTTTTAAGAGCTTCGTCAGTTCTTGTTTTGAATACTGCAACATCACTCAAACTTCTTACTCTGCCTGTAGGCTGAACCCCATCTGATGCATTCTCCACATTGCAGTCAGCATGATACATATTAATAGTATAATCACTCATTTTCCTCATAACAATGTTTCTGAGGTTAATCATCATTTTCAAAATACTGCCATGATCTGAGCCCCGCTTTCCTTTCCAACTTTATCCCCTTCCACTTCCTTTCAGGTTAGACATTTTGGAAATCCAGAATATCTGAAATTTCCTAAGTATCCCATGCATTTTTTTTTATGCTTTGAAGTATTTTTTTCCTGTTGATTTGATCATGTTTTTATGCGTGGCTAAATCCTTTATATCCTTTAAACTCATTGTAAGCATCCTCTTCTACAGAGTGTTTTCTGGTATCTTCACTTGTACCTCCTGGATTCTAGATGTGATTATATTCACAATTACTAAGCAAGAAAGGTATAGAAAGTATTCTGATTAAAAAAAAAATGCAGCCAAAGTCATATCAATTACTATGCAGAACTGTCCTAGGGGGTCATGATATCAAACTTGCTTTGGGCAAATATTAAAGAGCAACTGAACCAAATATGGTCAGAATTCCTGCTGGAGTAATAGCAGTGCTGAGTGACCCTGGCTGTAGTTGCATTCATGTATTAAGAAATTTTTGTATAACAGTTTGTGATCAGCAAAACTCAGTAGACGTTTTCCTAAGACCTCCCCACCATTTTCTTCTCCCTCTTGTTATTAAGCTCATGTTTGTCAAGAAAAATTTGGCCTCTGTGTATCTGATTCACTTACACTTGACTCATCAAAATATTTTGTAAGAGAGGTTTGAAGTCCAAGAAGCCTCTTGAGCCTCCTTTGTGGATCCTTAAGACATTCTTTTCTGAGAACCAATAAGTTGTTTCTGGCCAAATCCAAGTAAATGGAAACTCCAAATGACTTAGAACTGTTAAAGGGGTTGAAATATATGAACATGCTATCCTGTACTTAAGTGATGTATCCATGCATGAGGAAGGTTTTCAATTTCCCCTGAAGGTAAAGTTGAGGAAGTGAGTAGTTGCATAACATGACTCAAGAAACCCTGCTTAACATATTACATATTTCCCCATGCCCTACTGGGATTTCCTTGTCCTTGGTGTCTCTGACATTTCAAAATCAGAAGGCACCACCTGCCAGACAACAGCTAATCTGAATTAAGGATTTCTGTCAGAATGACACTTGGCTTACTGCCAGCTAAGGTAGGTCAGAGTCTTTCCTGCCAAGCCACCTGGATTCCTGTTTCCCGGCTGTACCAAGCAGACCGGTGTATGCAGGAGCAAGTGAGCCTTAGAAAAGATAATGCAATCCATGTGTCCCACCATAAATATCTGTTTTTACTACATGGCCGTAAGTCATTTATTCAAAGATTGCAAATTTTATTTTAAAAGTACAACAAATAGTTCATTGTACAACTGACTTGGGCCCTTAATTAGAAACTGCAGTACTTCGCTCATTGTATATAACATTATAATGGCCCTTTTCTTCCATTATCCAAATGTTGTAGCTAATTTATCTTGTAAGATTGCTTATGCAGTACACTCAGAAGTACTGTGACTGTACAACTGACTGAATATAGACAATCATAGTCTCATTTGACAAAAGAGTTTTCAAGAGTATTTCATTAATAGTTCTTCTTGGCCACTTCCTCTAATCCGTACCAAACCACAGGATGTCCTAACTTGAAAACCTACCACAGCAAGAACAAAGCCCCTGTCTGGTTACTAAATGCTCTTGGAGGCTTCCTTTTTGGAAACTCATTATCAGTTCTCTGCCATTGCAAGTCACTAGAGGAAAATTATCTCATTGTTTCAAAGCCAAAGAAATGGAATCCTCACCTCTTTAGATGTGTTGATACCACAACATCCTGATTTACCGGTTCTGAGCCTTATTACCTTCTTGTAGCATTTACTAACCCTTAAAAGAGAAAGATATGGCCACATATTCTCTGCCCCTAAATATCTGAAGGAGAACTAGAAACTCAGTTACCTAATGCCAAACAGCTGTATTTGTGATGTTTCCCTTATTTCATTTTCAGCCAGATGTTTGGAATCACATAGACAATAAGACAATACTTAATATTTCTAAAAAGAGTCTCAAAAATGTCATGACTCTTCAGATTGGGAACACGGGAAGACAAAGACATAGAAAGATATAATTGGAGCTTATACAATCATGAAGCGTCTGAGTAAGTTGAATATAAACCCATTCATAACTTTTCAGAATACCAGAAACATTGTCTGAAAATTGAGAGGGACTTCAAGCTACAAACAAAAGGACAACTCAGTTACGAACAAACATATGGAACTTGTTACCCCAGAGGTACAAAATGAAGATACACATACTAATTTGAAAATATTCATGTACATTCACAGATGATTGACGGAGATATTAAAGGTAATGAAAATATTTTGGATTCGGCCGGGCGCGGTGGCTCAAGCCTGTAATCCCAGCACTTTGGGAGGCCGAGACGGGTGGATCACAAGGTCAGGAGATTGAGACCACCTGGCTAACACGGTGAAACCCCGTCTCTACTAAAAAATACAAAAAATTAGCTGGGCGAGGTGGCGGGCACCTATAGTCCCAGCTCCTCGGGAGGCTGAGGCAGGAAACTGGCGTGAAACCGGGAGGCGGAGCTTGCAGTGAGCTGAGATCTGGCCACTGCACTCCAGCCTGGGCGACAGAGCGAGACTCCGTCTCAAAAAAAAAAAAAAAAAGAAAATATTTTGGATTCATTGCTAACTTTTTAACTTTGGTGTCAGAGAGGACAAGTCTGACTTTTAGCACATTTCCTATATCCATACACAGTTTGTATCCATATGCTGGGTTGGTTGAAATCCAATGTGACAATTGCTACTTGCATAGTATCTGCTTATAATTATTTGTTAAATGAATATTAATATTTAAAGTACATAAACTCTTTCATATGCATCCTCATTTTATCCTTTTTATAATCCTTTGATGTTGAAAATGAGGAAGATTCCAAAGAAAACTAAAATGGAGGTAGTATGTGTAGAGAGGGACCATGGGAGAATAATTACAAATTCAAACTCTGGAGTCAGATCTGTTCAGAATCCCAGCTCTACAAATCACAAGGTTTAGCACTTTGCACAAGTTAACTAAACCCTCCAAACCTTAGTTTCTTGATATGTACAGTGAGACTAATGACAAAGTCTACATCTAAGGGTGTCTGTGAGAATTAATGAGATATCTTATGTAAAGTTTACTTACCAGCGGCTGGCACATAGCAAATGTTCAATAATTACTATTTAGAGTTAAGAAAAAATTCATTTGTCAATATATCATGTTGTCTAATTATCCTACAATACATAGCTGGTTAATTCTAGTACTGAGAATCAAACAGCATTCTTCTGACTAAGCCTTATGTTCTTTCCATGTGCATGGTGAATGCTGTTTTGTCAAAGACAAAAGAGTAGACTAAGTAGACTAAGAGTAGACTAAGAAGAAAGAAGCCTGGCATTTGGGGTCTGAATGAGTTGCCTCATACAATCATAAATATAAAGTCTATAACTCACTAAGTATTGTGTATTTTAAATCGGCTTTTTTTCCTGTATGATAAACATAGCCAATTTATTTTCGATTGATGGAAGTCAACTATGTTTGAATTTATGAGCTCACCACAATTTTCTTGGCAATGCCTGCCATTTACTAAATACAGTCTATCCGGAGTTACTAGCAATAACAAATATTTGCATTTATATTAGATGTTTTATGGTTAGAAGAGGATTAGACCAAACGACCTGGAGGAAGCATAATAGAAATGTTCCTTAACATCTATTCTTTAATGAGGCTTACATTGCCAAACGAGTTTAGCATGGGAAGTAGTTAAGGTTCTTTCCAAGAAGTTTTACAAAATAAGCTAAGCAGTATGTTTAAATAATAGAAGAAAAGATCTTCAATAACATTCTCTTCAGTAAAAAGCCATCACCAAAAAATATTTTATCTACAACATAAATATTTGCTGTTAAGTGTAGACTGTGTTTAGCCACAATTGATTTAATATTTCCTTCCCTCAAAATACAAAGTAAATAAGGTGATTGCATAGTGCTGGGCAACTTGATCCCAGTTGCTTGTCTTATCTTCACTATTACCACCTCCTTCTCTGCCACAGCCACAGCCACAGCCACAGCACGGAACTTTTATCCAGTGGTATAAAGCAAAAGAGAATATTATAGGGAAATCAAAAGCGGGAACTGTGTCAGTTAATTCTTACTGTGTCACGATCACCCCAAAACATTTTGACTTAAACAACAAAATATGTTGTTTTTGATAATTCTGAGTCAGCTAAGCAGTTCTAGTCTGTGCCCACTTAACTGCTCAGCTGGGTCAAAATGCCATTACTCCTAGGTCTGGTGGTTGATTCCATGTCAGTGGTAAAAGGCCATGTATCTCCCATTATCTCACAGCATTGCCCAGTCTTATTCACATGGTGATGGTTGCAGTATTCCTAAGAGCAACAACCAGACAATTTCTGACAAACAAGTGATTTTCAAGGCTTTATTTGTGTCACATTGTTCATTGTCCTGTTAGTCAAACAGGTCATAAAAGCAAGGTTGGATTTGAGAAATGGTTAAATAAACTTCAACTCTTAATGAGTTGCAAGCCCTCAATGCAAAGAACGGGATATTGAGTGGTGTGAAGAGTTGAAGTGATGTTTCCTTCCCATCACAGATAATCTATGACACTATTCCATGAGCATTCTCTACCAGAGGTTGTCCTATACTTTACGAAGAAACTTCAAAATCTTTCTTTATTTCATTCTTTTAAAAATTATCTGAGAAAGGTTAGCAATGAAGACATGTATTTAAATTCTAACCCTTATACAAATTAGTTCTATGACTTTGGTCCAGTCATTTAACATTTCATAGTAGGTCGAATTAAATTATAATAGCTTCTATGTCATGGCACTGCCAAGAGAATTACATTAGATAAAGGCATGTAAATTATTTATTAAAAATTCAAAATATTAGTTTTAAGCTCTAATTTATTCACTTAAAAATAATATTCGAGCACTTATTACATTCCTATTAATATAGAATATTTCTAAGAAGCAGTTAAGAGAACCATGTTGAGTCAAATTATCTGCACCTTATTCTACCTTTTATTTTGGAGTAAGTTACTTACTGTTTTGAACATTCTTATTTTTCCACACCTGTGAAATAAGCATAAAAATAATTATGTCTACCTCATAAAGTTGCTGGGAGAATTACATACAAATACCTAGATAAATGTCTGGCACATCATCAATACCCAACAAATGATAACAATTATTATTATGTCACAGCCCTGGAGTAGACATTAGATGTATTAAAAATTCATTAAATGTGTCCTCGTATATTACAGTATATTGAAGGAATGAAACACTGAAAATGGAATAGGTCAATAAATAAAAAGTTCAAATTGTGATTAGTGGAATGAAAGAAAATAATACGGTGGCAAGGTAACATAGAAATGAACTTCTGATGAAGTGGTAGCAGCAGTTCTCTCTGCAGAAATGATATGCAAACTGGAAATTTAAGAATTAAAGAAATTTGAGATTTTTCAGAAAAGAAAGTTTGTGGTCAGAGGGGTAAAGCAACTTGCTCCAGGTTGTACAGGGGAGATGTCAATAGCTCGGAAAGATTCTAAGCAATAATACAACCTCTGTAAACCTTCCTAGCCCTTGAGGATAGATGTTGCCAAAGTGAGTGAGCCTGACAGTCTCTCGGGAGGTAAACTCCTCTCTTCTGTGTGTTGCTCTCCTATTCAACTAATCCTACTTAGGAAATCTTTAACCTGATGACCAAATACAACACAACACAACAAAACAAAACAACCAAAAAAAAAAAAAATCCAAAAAGCAATTCATTGATTCTGGCTTTTGAAATTAAAAACCAGTAAATCTGTGTTTTGTTTTGGTTCACAATTCTACCATGTAAAATTTCAAAATATGCTTCAGACAGACATCACAGAATATTGCATTTGTAATTAAAAAGGCAATCAAAAGCTATCCTGGCATGGGCAAGTGTTTCAGTTCATTTTCACACTGCTATAAACAACTCCCTGGGACTGGGTAATTTATGGAGAAAAGAGGCTTAATTGACTCACAGTTCTGCAGGCTTAATAGAAAGCATGGCTTGAAGGCCCCAGGAACTTACAACTGTGGTGAAAGGCACAGGGGAAGAAGCAAGCACATTTTTGCCATGGCAGAGCAGGAGAGAGAGCGAGGAACTGCCACACACTTTTAAACCATAAGATCTCCTGTGAACTCACTTGCTATCATGAGAACAGCATGGAGGAAACTGCTCCCCAATTCAATCTCCTCACACTAGGGCCCTCTTCCAATAAGCAGGAATTACAGTTCGAGATGAGATTTGGGTGGGGACACAGAGCTGAACCATAACAGCAAATAATATCCCAAGCCACAGATCATCCTACAGATGACAACTACAACTTCTGGAGAAAATATAAAAACAACTATCAGAATTCACAGGAGGATGAAGAAAAGTAAGATAATTGTAGAGGTTAATGGTTTGGAAGAAATCAATGATACAAATTGGGATTTCTTTCTTTTCTTTGGACATAGGAGAATGCTACAGTTGGCATGTCATAGAGTAGCTGAAACTTGGATAGAGAGTCAACAGTCTTTTCTGCCAAGAGGACAAAGTTAAGACATCACAGCTGCTGGAGCCTGAAGGTGAAATACCAGAAGGGAGAACAAAAGAAGGTCCATAATCTGTATATAAAACTTGCCCAAATCTGGCCGGGCGCGGTGGCTCACTCCTGTAATCCCAGCACTTTGGGAGGCTGAGGCGGACAGATAATGAGGTCAGAAGTTCAAGACCAGCCTATCTAATATAGTGAAACCCCGTCTCTACTAAAAAAATACAAAAATTAGCCAGGCGTGGTGGTGTGCACCTGCAGTTGCAGCTACTCAGGAAGCTGAGGCAGGAGAATCGCTTGAACCCGGGAGGTAGAGGTTGGAATGAGCCGACATCGTGCCACTGCACTCCAGCCAGGGCGACAGAGTGAGACTCTGTCTCAAAACAAACAAGCAAACAAACAAAAAACTTGCCCAAATCTATGACTAATCTCAGAACTGCATATGAAATAAAGAAGACTCAAAAGAGTCCATTTGAGGATAAAATAACTTAGATTTGAACTGCTATAGAAGAGACAGAGTTTATAGTTATGTTCCATCTATGTTAATTACCTCTTTAAAGAAGAATGTACACTCTTTTGAGGAATACAATGAAATCCAGAGTTACCATTTTATAATATTTAAAATTTCCAGAATAAAATCCCAAATTACTCAACATATAAGGAATAAAAAAAAGTGGCTCATTTTCCAAAGAAAGATAATGAGATGATTTAGATGCTAAAGTTTATTGAAAAGTATTTTAAAGTAACTTTTTTTTTTTTTTTTGAGATGGAGTTTTGTTCTTGTTGCCCAGGCTGGAGTGCAATGGCATGATCTCAGCTCACTGCAACCTCCGCCTCCCAGGCTCAAAAGTTCCCCTGCCTCAGCCTCCTGAGTAGCTGGGATTACAGGCATGCACCACCACACCCAACCAATGTTTTGTAATTTTTAGTAGAGATGGGGTTTCTTCATGTTGGTCAGGCTGGTCTCAAACTCCTGACCTCAGGTGATCCGCCTGCCTTGGCCTCCTGAAGTGCTGGGATTACAGGCGTGAGCCACTGCGCCCAGCCTGAAGTAACTATTATACTCAATGATATAAAGAAAAACAAGAAGCAATGCTTTCAATTAAAGACATATAGTAAATCTCAGCAAAGAAAAACTATAAAAAGAACCAAATGGAAATTCTAGGATTAAAAATTATATCTGAAATAAATTCACTGTTTGAGAGTGAATGCAGATAAGGAAAAGAGTGAACACATTTGAAGATAGATTAACATAAATTATTCAGCCTGAAGAACAGAGAGGAGAAAACCATTTTTAAAAATTAACAGTCTCAGGGACAATATACAAATGTGTCATATATATATTTGGAGTCCATGAAGAAGAGGAAAATGAAAAAAATTTGTTTCAGAGAATAGCTTAACACTAACCCAATTTGTTGATTGATATCGAGAAACTCAATGAATTCTAATTAAGAAAGTGAAAGGGCCAGGCATGGTGGGTAACACCCATAATCCCAGCACTGTGGGAGGCAGAGGCAGGCAGATCATTTGAGGTCAGGAGGTAGAGACTAGCCTGGCCAACATGGTGAAACCCCAGCCCTACTAAAAATACAAAAATTTGCTGGGCATAGTGGCCTGTGCCTGTAGTCCCAGCTACTTGGGAGACTGAGGCAAGAGAATTGCTCGAACCCGGGAGGCAGAAGTTGCGTTGAGCCGAGATCTCGCCACTGCACTCCAGCTTGGGCAACAGAGCAAGACGTTGTCTCAAAAAAAAAAAAAAAAAAAAAAAAAAAAAAAAAGGAAAATGAAAGAAAGGCCCACCTGGACCCTGCATAGTCAATAGTCCGAAAAGCAAAAACAAGGAAAAGACCTTGAATCAGCCAGAAAACAAAAATACAGATCAAATACAGGAAAACAATGATTTGGATTATCCCTGACCTTTCAAGAGAACTATGGTGAGAAGACAATGGGACCACACCTTTAAAGTGTGGAAAGAAAAAAAAAATCAATCCAGAATTCTAAATCTAGCTAAAATGTCTTTCAAGAAGTAAGGAGAAATGAATAATTTTAGATTAAAACAATAGAATTTTCGTCAGCGGACAAATACTTAAGGATTTCTTCAGACCAAATGAAGGTGATACCTGGTAAAAATGACATTTTTCAGGGAAGAATAAAGAGCATCAGCAAGGGTAAATTTCGCAGTAAATGAGAATGACTACTTTTTCCTTCTTCATTTATTTAAAATAGTATTTTAATGAAAAAATTATAATATTGGATTGTGGAGATTTAAAGCACATAAAAGTAAAACAAATGGCAACCATATCATAAAGGTTGAATGAGGGTAAATGAACATATACAGGCTTTTTCATATTTTATGTGAAATTAATACAACACTTATTCTAATTAGACTGTAAAGTTAAGGATGCATATTGTAGTCTAAAAAGGATAATGGAAAAAATATATATAAAAAGTAGCAGATAAATTAAAATTGAATTATAAAAATATGTAAATAATTCAAAACAAAGCCGGAAACAGGGACAGAAATACAAATTAGAAAGAAGAAACAGAAAATAAATAATAAAATAGTAGACTGAAACTCAAATGATTATATTTAAATAGACTAAGCACTCCAATTAAAAGGCAGGAACTATTTCAATGCATAAAACTGTAAGACCCAACTGTGCACCATCTACTCTATCAGAGATACATTTTACTTAAAAAGACAAATGAAATGAAAATATATATACCATGAAAATAGTTAGCATTAGAATGTAGGAGTGGCTGTGTTGTTAATATCAGGTAAAATACATTTCAAGGCAGAAAAGATTACAAAATTAAAATAGAGATACTTCATAGTGATAAAGATGTCTATTCATTGCAGATCATCAATGTTTGTGTCTCTAATACCAAAGCTTCAAAAACGGAAAGAAACAGAAAAATCTACAGTCATAGTTGGAGATTTTGTTATGCCTTTCCAACAAATCAACCAGACAAAAAACTTTAGTAAAGACAGAGTAAAATGAACAATATTAATATGAACCTAACCAATAATTACACAGCAATAAAGTCAGTAATTGCAGAATACATGCTCTTCTCCTTTGCTCATGGCACATTCATCAAGATTTTAAAAATGTACTTAAAAAGGCTCTTCAAAAGTGGCATTATACAAGGGCCATAGTACATTTCAATAATTTTTTAAAAATAAAATTATTAATTGTATATTCTACTTACCCATAAAATTGAATTAGAAATTATTAGGTGTATATTCAGGAAATAATCCAAAATATTTGGATAGTATATAGCAAGTTTAAAAAGAATCTTTTAGTAAAAAAAAAAATCATGTATAAGTTCAGTCTATTCATGAGATAAATGTCAGCCAAATCTCCATCATGGACATTCTGTAAAATAACTGACTAGTACTCCCCAAAACTGTCAAGGTCATCAAAAGTAAGAAAAGTCTGAGAAACTGCCACAGCCAAGAGGACTCTACAGAGGCATGATTACTAATTGTAATGTAATATCCCGTGGGAT